TCATCGATCAATATCTTAAATCAGTAGCTAAAAATTAGGTTCATAATCTTCATCAAAACAATGGAGAATTTGGAAGGATTACCAGGCGACGACATCCAGATAAGATTGAAACATGTGTGTGAACCTAATGAACAATGTGTGAACCTAATAAACAATTGAAAAATTAGGTTCATAATCTTCATCAAAACAATGTGTGAACCTAATGAACAATTGAAAAATTAGGTTCATAATCTTCATCAAAACAATGTGTGAACCTAATGAACAATTGAAACATGTGTGTGAACCAAATGGACATATTGTGTGAACCAATTAAACACATGAACACATATGTCGACGTTTGAGTGAACATGTGTGTGAACGGTTTGATCATTTTCTTCACTTTCGGAATTCGAATTCCGAATGTATTCGTAGACGCTTTTAGCTTTTTCATTCTCATTGTCGTCGATCTGTTTTACTCTATGATTATCCATGTTACTCGGACTATAACGGAATCTTTACAAAAAGTGACTTTTTTGAAATTTACAATATCAAAACCATTGTAGGAAGAATGAAATGTAAAAATCAGTAATATGAACAAATGTGAAACTTCATGTCATTATTACATGAAGATCAATTAGTGATATTTTAAGATTTGTAACTCCCAATTAATATATTGGGGAGTTATATAAAAATGATAAATTACCAAAATACCCTTACACTTAATATGTGGTTTTAAATTTGAACCTAACTAAAAGATGGAACATGATTGGTTGATGTTGGTTAGCATAGTTAACACAAAAAAATGGGTTAGTATTTGAACCACCCTCTCTCTCTCTCTCTCTCTCTATATATATATATATATATATATATATATATTATTAAACATATTATATATATAATTAGATTTAATATCTTTTTGATACTCTAGAAAAGTAAATTTTGGAAATATATAGTGAGATTTCAAAATGGATCATTATCGATCAAATATGATATTAAACACATTTGATTTAAGATATCTTATATTAACGGGGAAAAGATCTCTGATTCCCCGTTCCCCGTTGGGCCCAATCCCCATCCCATTCTCATGCCTAGTTAATTTGTTCATATGTGAATTTGTTAAATAGTTTATATATCAATTACACGGGTTAACACATATATAGTTCATATATTCATTTGTTTTGCCGCATATTTGTAAAAGTTACGAAATTACCCATCTGTTTTATGTATACCATGCGAGGAATTATCCGGTATTTTACAGTTAAAGCGGCAAATCTTGACCAGATTAAAGCCTATGATCTTTTCTTCATTTCTCAAATACTAGTGGTGGTGGAGACGGACAGTGGTGGTTGTGGAGGATGTGAATATGGTAGATAGTGGTAGCCAATAACGATGGCTGACGGTGGTAGTGGTAGTCGATGGTGGTGGCTATGATGGAGGTGAGGTGGCCCATATGGTGGTGATGAACGGTGTTGGTTTGGTGGCTGACAATGGTTGTGAAGGTAGTGGAGGAGGTTGCAGTAGAGGAAAAGGTGGAGGTGGCCGACGATGGTAGTGGCGGTGACAATGGACGATGGTGGTTGGTGTCTGACGGTGGTTGTGGAGGTGGTGAAGGAGGTTGTTGTAGTAGGAAATAAGGTGGAGATGGCCAATGGTGATAATGACAATTGACGATGGTGGTCAGTGGTCGATGGTGGTTGTGGAGGTGGTGATAGATGGTGGTGGTCGGTGGTCAATGGTGGTTGTGGAGATGGTGGAGAAGGAGGAGGTGGAGGTGGCCGACGGTGGTGACCACTAAAACAAATATCATGTTAAGATTATATATCAAACGAAGATTAATTACTAATATTTTAGTTTTTATCTTATTCTTGTCTTATCTTGTTCCACCTATTTTGGTGGAACAAAAAAAACATTTTTTGTCTCACCTCGTACCAATTCTTGTCCTTGTCTCATGTCGCACCAAACGTGGGATAGTGAGTTATGGTTTGTCCCATCTCGCGTCAAACATGAAATAGTGAGTTTTGTTTCATCATGTCTTGTCTCATGTACCAAACACAACCTAAATGAATTCATGACTATATGTGTGTGTGTGT